TGGGCCCCACTCCTGACAAATTTTATCAAATTCTCCAGGAATGGGCCCTGGACATCAGCATCTGAATGCTCTGTGGATTCTGTTAGTCAGGCTTGCAAACAGGTGGTGTTACAAGGAGATATCTGGGTGGCTTCTTTTGTATTATCTATTTATTTGTTTATTCAGTTGTCTTCTGAGTCATGCATGGCTTTTTCATTTGTAAAATTAAGAGTTAACAATAACAGCGTCTCAAAGAAAATACCTCTGAATAGATTCTATGAGCTATAAAATAGTATGAAAATTACAGTTCTGCTACAGAGTGCTCAGAGACACGGAGCCTACCAAAGCAGGCTGAGCAGGGCTCCAGTGTACACAGCCTCGGGTCCTGCATCGCAACGTCACTGGTTGGCTCATGTCGCTGGAGACAAAACCGGAGCGTGCTGTGACCCCGAGTCCTCAGCGGAGCCCTGTAAAGCTGAGAACGAGGACAGAGGAAGGCACGGTACCCAGGCTCTAATGTCGCTGTCCAGAGATATGGGTGAATGGCTTGGCTCTGTTCTGGCTGCAGGAAAACAGGTCCCAGAATCATCGTCACCCAGGGCCCCGGGCACAGCCTGTCCACCAGGGGGCGCCAGGCCCCACACTGGGTAGGGCCAGCTTGGGGTGGACCAGCTGCGAATGCGCCTGACCAGGCCACACACCAGCGGCTGACGCTTACCCAGCAGACTTCCGAAAAACCACACATATGTAGACACACATACACATATATACACACCACACATATACACATACCACACAGACACACACCACACACATAGACACACATATAGACACACCACACACATACCACACACATACACATAGCGCACACACACACCACACACACCACAGACATATACACACCACACACAGATATACACAGAGACACATATACCACACATATTCACACACCACACACACAAATGTAGACACACACCCCCCACACACACACACATAGACACACAGATATATACACACACGGATATATACACACACCACACATATACACATACATAAAAACACACACACCATTCATAGACACACTACATATACACACACATAGACATATATACTACACAGATATGAACACACCACATATACACACATATAGATACATACACCACACACATACATGCACACCATACACATACACACAGACACACACATCACACAGATACACAGACATAGATACAAACACTACACACATACACACATACAGACACTATATAATTACATACATCACCCACATACAAACATATAGATAAACACGCCTCACACATACAAACATATATGCACACTGAACACATACAAACACATATACACACACACCATACACATGCAGACACACAGAGATACATACAAATATACCACACATACAAATACATAGATATACACACCATATACACAGATATAGACACATACCACATGGATTCAGGCACACACATGTCACACCACACACAGACACACATATATAAACATGGCACACAGTCACACACACCACACACACACATAAACACAACCCTGAAATATACAGACATCCATATACACATCATACGTGCCTGCACATGTGTAGGCATACCACACATATGTAGACACATACAGACAAATACCACACACATACAGAGACACATGTTTACACATACCACATACACACAAACATACAGGCATGCATACATACTGCAAGCATGCATCTAGCACATACCACACACACATAGATGCACACACACCACACACAAACACATATACACACCACACACAGACAGAGACATGCACAATCCACAATATAAACACACACAACACTCAGGCACACACACATACAGATACACAGAGATGCACACACCACACCCAGACACATCCAGATGCGCACACACAGAATCCCCGGAAGTCAGCAGAGACACAGGTGCCTGTGGCCAGCTGCAGACCCCTGTGTCTCCAAGTCCTGAGAGACGAAGTGCAGGTTCCCAATGGATGAACGTGCTTCTCTGGGGGTCCCAACCCCATGGGCACAGGTCTGCTGTGGGAGGCTACTATTTTGTGTGCACAATTAAAGTACTGGGATGGCACAGAGCAAAATGTCATGGGGAAACATTGAGGACTGGTACCTGCTTTAAGGGGCTGGGTTTTCCTTCAGCAAACCTCCTCGGCCCATCGTCTGCCTGTTGGAGATGCTCCTGCCACGGCCGGCCCCATGGCCAAGGCACTCAGCCAAGGCAGATCAGACCAGCTTATCAAGGGTTTTCCGTTTTCCCAAAGAGGGTAAGAGGAGAGATGTGCTGACATCCACATCCTTGGATTCTGACAGGTGCCCTGTGTGCCTGCCCACCATGGGCACAGAGCTCCCCAACAGGACCGTGACACCCATGGGCAGATGTGTGCTTCCCAGGGGCTCAGTGCGAGCAGAGACCCAGGTCTCAGATGTGGACTGTGTCTCCAGGCCAGTCTAGGTGGAGATAGTGCTCCAGGCTAGTTCTGTGGTGACTCTGTCTCCCATGATCCACTTTCTTCCTGCACAACTCACATGAAGGACTTGTTGAGGCAGGGCCTCTCCTCTGTCCCTGCCACCACCGGGACCAGAAGGGCTCTAACAACTGCTCATGGGCAGCTCAGTAAGCTGCCCTGTCAGCCTTTGTTTTATGGAAATGTATGAAGTCATCTGACAGGAACGGAGAGCAGAAGAGGGCCAGACCCTGGCTCCTTATTTCTCCTGAGCGAGGAAGAGTTGTTTATGTACAGTCTACATTCTTCACTCATTGTTCCACAGTATGATGACAGTTGTGGTAAACTGAGTCACTGAACGACCTCCACAACTGAACGCTTTAAGTCTCTTGAGTCACAGCTTCACTGCAGTAATGCTCGGTTCAGAATACTGCCTCGGGACACGTTCCCCATGGGGCAGTGTGTGGGCTTGGACCTTTGAGGGGCAGTGACCCGAGGGACACGCCTGGGGACCGACGTGGGAAAGGCTGAATCGCTCACACAAGTGCCTCCTGGGTTTTGTAGTGGTGACTCTGGAAAAGTGATCTTTCTTTCTTACAGATTAATTTTGCTAAAGTGTGAAATAGCAAATACCACCAGTCTGTGTGATGAAACATCGAAGTATGTGCTCTGCTCCCCTTGCTGTATCTAAATAGTATCATTTCTTTCCTTTTTTTTTTTTGAAGGACAGATTATATGTGTTGTGTGTGCATGTGTGCGTGTGCATGTATGTGTGCATGTGTATGTACGTGAGAGACAGACATTGTTCTGTGCTATAGATTAGGCCTTGAGTGTTTCCCGAAGCCCACATGCTAAAAGCTTGGTCCCCTGCCTGTGGTGCTAGGGGTGTGTTTGGCAACTTTAGGTGTCAGACCTAGCGGAGTAAGTCAGGTCCTGGGGGCTGTGCCCTGAAAGGGGACAGTGGGACCTCAACCCTGCTTGTCTCCCTTTGCCACCCGCTCCCCACTGTGGTGTGCTGGCTTGCTATAGCCCCCAAAGCAATGTGTCAAGTGACCATGGACTGCACCCTTTGAAACTATGAGCTACAATAAGCCTTCCCTCCTAGAATGAGAACATGTTGATCAGTCAGTACGAAGCTCTCCCTGGTACCCAAAAGACAAGCCAGAGTCTTACAAGCCCTCCCTGGTGGACCTCTGGGGAGCGACCATGCCGTCTCTTGCTGTCATGGTGACACTTTCAGCCTTACAAGGATGCCTCTTTCTGGGAGTGAAGGCGTGGAAGGCAGAGGCTGGCACTGTCTCCCGAGCCACCCAGAGCACTGCTGCTGCTCACAGAGCTCCTCCCGGAGCCCATGGCCCCGGCACGCAGACCCAGGAGTCCCTGGCATGCATGACACCTACACATGCCCGCTTGCCGGCCTTGCCCGGCACAGTGGGGACCCGAGGCTCGGCCGACACCACCAGCCCGGGGTGAGTATGAGAGAGCCCAGTCCTCACTGCTCTCCACTGCCAGCCTCTGTCCCGGGGCTGTGCAGTCTGCCATTCTCAGCCCCGCCTTCTGCTCCCCAGCCTCTGACTTGGCTCCTCAGGAGAAGAGGAGCCTGGGGCCCAGGAAGGAAGCCTAAGGCTGAGTGAGCGTTCCTCCAAGGCTTGGCCCAGAGAGGGCAGGAGAGAAGGGAAACACGGACAGGAGGTGTCTCCGGGGGCAGAAGACGGCCCCACACCGATGGTTAAGTGGTAATTTGGAGTAAAGTTTGGTGTGCGTGTGTGCATGCGTGTGTGTGTTGATGTGATGTATACATACTGGCGGCTTTGTGTACCTTTGTGCAGCATGTGTATGTGTGCAGTATGTTTAGTGTATAATGTATATATTTGTATGTATATGCCACATTTGTGGGTTTGTATATGTGTGCATGTGTTTCTGTGCACGCATGTGTGAGATTGTATATATGTGTATACACACATAGGCATGTATGCTCGCATGTTTGTGCATACACTGTATGGATGTGCACTGTATGCATTCATGTGGGACATGTGTTTGCAGGCATATATATGTATGTGCACATGTATGCACACATGTGCATGTATGTATGTGCTTGTATATGTGTGTGTGTGAGAGAGACCTCCTTTCAAATGGATCAGGGCTTTGGAAGTCTTTCCTTGTCTGCCCCAGTGCTCTTGGGATTCTCCAAAGAGAGGGCAAAGCTCGTATGCTCATGCCTGTTTTGTGCCATCAGGGGCTTCCTCGGCCCTCTCTGTTAGGGTAGGATGTGGGTTTTCAGGTCCTCACTGGCAGAACCACAGCACAAGGACAGAGTTCACAGGCCTTCCCTGTGGCAGAGCAGGGCTCCCCATGGTGGGCTTCCTCTGTCTGTGGTAGGAGCTTGGCTGGCTCCAAAGACTCTGCTTATACCTGTTTTTATAACACGCCAGGGGACTCAGCCTTTCCCAGAACATATTCACAGAACACATTTGCAACACTGCTGAACACCAGGTGACAGTGTAACCCATCCTGGTCTAATAACTTCCATGACAGTCACCACCAAACTAATTTAAATTTTTTTATTAAAAATCAGTGAGAAAATCTCTAGTGACAAAACATAGCTCTGAAATAAATGCAAAACATGCTGCATTGCTAACAGGTGGCAGAAGCTCTCTGGGAGGCTGGGAGGCCTGACACCTTGGTGGCCACCTCCGCAAGTGGGAGTCCAGGAGGACAGATCAGGGAGCCGTGGGGTGATGTCCACAAGAAGTCACTGTCCAGCAGATCAAAGCAGGGCTGGCTGCTGGGGAGCAGGGCCAAGACATGCTCAGATGCAAATATATGCCATGACTTTAACCATAAATGAATGTGGCTTTGCCACAGAAACATTTGATCCCGCTGGGGAATGAGATTTTTGTGGCATTTGTGGACAATGGCACACAGCAGGGTAGCTGGGATGGTCCTCTGTACCCTGCTCCAGAAGGACCAGAAAGGAAGCACTCAGATGAACCAGTTCCAGGCAGAGAGAGTTGAGAATACCCTATAGCTGGGTGGAAATCCAGCCCAGCACTGACACTCTAGGAGGACCTTGGAGGCCTTTCCCCAGCCTTCCGAACTCAGCCCTTCTCACAGTGTAAACCTTCTCTGGAGAGGCTGCCTGTCCCTCTCACCCTGCTCTCTGACTCCAGGGCACAGGAGAGTGAGTCCTGAGGGAAGGATAGCAGGATTTCTGCACACAGGAGCCTGTCCCTCCTTGGGAAGAGGACAGAAGGACCTGCGGTGTGGCTGGCCAGATTTCTGGAAGAAGGTGAGGCCCCAGCCATGTCCTAGAGTCCTCAGAGGAAGCCTGTTGCTAAAGAGGCTTGAAAAGCACACCGGAAAGAAGACACGCAGGGCTCTAACCACTCCATACCTGGCCCTCATTCCTATGGGCAGTGGTCTTTAACACAGGCACACTCTGAGGGGAAGGAGGGCAGGCCAGCTAGCTGGGCACCAGGGCCTCCTCAGACATACGGGCTACTTTCCCCAGTCAGCACATGCAACCCTTCCTTTCATGATGCCAGATATATCAATGGCCTGAACAGCTGAGATTTTGCCACTAATCTTGGTTACTGCAGGGGTCTAAATGCATTCCTAGGATCTGCTCATTGAGCTCAGCACATGGGGACTCTCTCTGTAACAAAATGATTGAACTGTCAGCACAATTCCAAAAAGCATGGATGATTTCTTAATATTCCTTGACCCAAGTTCTGAGTGACTCACATCTTCTGGCTAAGCAAAGGTACTGACTACCCCCTTTCACCTGCTTGTCCCACTGTTAGGAGGAGGGGGACCTTCTCCAACACCATGGTCTTATGCATGCTAAAATGCCTCGGGTGTGAAGATGGGATGGGCCCAAGCTTGATATGTTCGCTGACTGAAGAATGATGGCTAAGTCACTCTTTAACTTTCAAGAGCCTCAGCAAAACTCCTATTGATGGGTGATGTTTTACATAAACAAACCCTAAGTCAAGGATTAACTAATGGTAGGAGACTAGAAGAGAATTTTCAGGTCTTGCATCTTTAACCACAAGTCACACTTGGCAAGGTCTACGTCTTGAGGTTAGGGTCAGAGTCTAGTTGTGTCCTGTTGGAACCCCCTCTAGATGGCTCTGAAAGCAGAGGAAGAGGTCAGAGCTGGCACACTCCCTGTGTCTCCCCAGGTGATGTCCTCACCATGTTTTGATGCAGGAAGAAGGACTGCCCCAGGCGCCACATCTTGATAGGAACTTCCCAACATTCAGAATCATGAGAGATAACGTTCTTTTCTTTATAAATTACCCAGTGCTAGGTGTTCAGTTATAGTGACAGAAGATGGACGAACAGGGCACACATTAGAGATTCCTGGGAAAGTGAGAATTCTGGCCACACAGGAGGGGCGGCTGGCCTCCTACTCAGTGGGTGGAGAAACTCAGTCACTAGTTCCTGTAGCAGCACACAAGCCCCCTTTAAGGGGGCCCGCAGGAGGGGCATTCTGGGGATGGAGCCAAGCTAGGCCACACGCAAGCAGGGCTCAGTTCTCCCTGGGATGTTTCCTCTGTCTCATGATACAGAGCAAACGCAGTATCCAGGCTCCCTACTATTATTTCACGAATTGGCTGCTTGCTTAGAAATTGCACCTGTCAAACTTGATGTTTCTTTCTTTCTTTCTAAGCCTTGAGACGCTTTTCCCATCCGGCAGCTTCTCCATGGCCGGGATCCCTCTCACAGCCTTCAGAGCCCTGTTCTGGCCGCAGCCTCTTCCTCCCCACCTTCCTTCCCTTCCTCGGTGGAAGCTGAAAGACTGCACCAGTGGAGCATGCGCCGTGCCACCCAATCCTGCTTCCAGGCCCCTGGGGACTTGGACCCAGAGGGTGAGACAGGCAGAAAGGAACTGGAAACTGATCCTAAGAATAATCTGTCACGAACACCATACAGACAATAAAAACAAAGGAATCCAGCAGGCCCCTAAGTCCTGTTGCCCATTTGCTCCCGGGGCTGGGCTTGCTTCGTGGAGGATGAGTCCTTGGGGAGCAAGGCTCAGCAGGGCTGGTTCTCTCCCCCGACAGAAGGAGAAGAAAACCCTGAAATTCTGTGCACCCAAATGTGTTTTCCTGAGGTCGCTCATCTGGTCCAACGCAACTGCAGACCGGACTGGAGCATTTAGTTGACCACGTCATAGTAGTAATTGCGCAGGCGCAGTTCCACTGCTACAAAGTTAGGCCGTTTCTCTACCCTGGAAGGGGGAGGAGAGTTGTCAGTCTTTGTCAAGCGCTTTCCCAAAACTCCGCACAGGGAATTGGTAGGCACAGGCCTGCACCGCCCCCTGGTGTCATAAGTGCTCCAGGTCTCTGCGGCCCAGTACTGGAACCAGAAGGCTGTGAGACATCAATGGAAGGGCCGGGGATTTAGCTCAGTGGTTTTGTCGCCTGCTGCATAAGCGCAAGGCCCCGAGTTCGATCCCCAGTACCAAAAAAAAAAACCCCACAAACATCTTTGGGCCGGGGATTTAGCTCAGTGGTTCTGCCACCTGCCTCGCATGCACAAGGACCCGAGTTTGATCCCCGGTACCAAAAAAAAAGAAATCAGTGGAGAAGGAGGGAGTGGATGGGCTGCCGCCCCTGGTGTTCACCCCAAATCTACGGCACCCAAATCCAAATCTGCGTTTCTAACAGACCCCCACAGGCACCCAAATCTGCGTTTCTAGCAGAACCCCCCACAGCATTCACGGCCACCTTGAAGGTGCTGAAGCTGTGTACTAGAGCTCAGATCTTTTACCCCCAAAGTTTGGTGGCGGCCTCCTTGTGATACCAGGAAATAAAATGTATCTGGAGATACCTAGCAGGTAATTACGGTGCAGACACAGTTAATGCTAAAAAGCAAAAGCATGGACATAATCGTACAGTTTCTTACTAAGACTCAAAGCCAAGGCAAAGATCTAGACTTAATCACAACATAGTGAGGCTTACTGTTGGCAAGTGATACATGGGTTAAACCTTTTCACAATCTGTGATCTCTAAACATACATGTACAGGCACCTTTGTTTTCTCTAATATGAGCATACTTTACAGGTCAGCTGGAAAGGGGATGTAAGAGGGATCGGCCCCAGGACCAGGCAGAGCTAAAATCCATGCATGCTCAAGTCCCGTCTATAAAATAAGATGGTGTTTGTTTGCATCACTAGATTACTATGGAAATAGTTCTCAGATTATATTGTAGAGTGAATAATGACAAGGAAAAGTCTGTACATGTCCAGTACAGTTCTACTTCTTTTTAAATATTTTTAATCCATAGCTGGTTGAATTGTCAATGCAGAATCTTCAGGTACTGAGTATTTTTGCTTAGAAGTTATTTTTCTTATTTCACAAGACTTTTGGCTATAATGCAAGCAGGTAAAATTGCCAATGAGTGAAATAGAACTCGAGGCTAAACTGTATGCAACTATCCACATTCAACCATTTTGAGTTACAACAACTACAATTTCATCAGGTTCAGTCATGACATTTGAAAATAGCCACAGTACATGCCCAAGAACCAAGCATTCTTTGCTGTTATTAGAGCAGAGTTATTTCTGTAGAACCAAAATGGGTACTTTGTCAACTGGAATAAAAATATTTGGTTTCCCCTACAGCTTTCTAAGGGATATGGCAGCTGATGCTGCACAGCATGTCAGAGGTGGGGGACATTCCAGATGCTTGAGATGCCACCTGAGATTCCGTGACACCCTCCCCACATGGCGGTCCCCTAAGATCATATTACCTGGTGACACTGCCATCTTAGTCTGTAGGTACAATACAGGATGCTATTGCAAAGACATCAAACAATGCATTTTTTAGAACATGTCCCTGTCCTTAAGTGACATGACTTATCTTAAAGCAGTCAATCTCTGTCCCTGTTGTAATTTATTTAGGAGAGGTCACCCTCATGCATACAAAGATGGAATTTATGCTTCTTTGAAATGCCCAGGCATGCCACCTGCCTCCAGAGCCTTCGTAAGGATTGCGGGAAGCACTGGGTACTCACTCATATGTCCAGCACAGGTTCATCAGCTCGTACATCTCTCGTGGACACCCGGAAGGGCAGCCCATCCGCTCCCCCTTCTCCAGCATGGCAGTAACTTCACTTCCTTTCATCCCCTAAGACATGCAAAATGCCCAGATGCCTTTAGAACATCACATCAGCCAACAGATTAGAATAACAAGCTTGTTTCAGGTCACAAAGGAGCACACATGGCACAATTTCAGTTATTCAGGTTACCAAAATAGGAGCCAGTGGGGAAGGGCCGAACGGACAGCAGAAGGGGCTTCTGAGGTCCATCCTGTCTCCTCACCTGGTGGCCAGCTTTGTGCTATGCTCACTCAGCAGCACCCTTGGTCTGTGCCCTTTTGGTATATTTTTTAATTGAAAAAATTCTTAAAAATGTAACTGGGCTGTAAATCGGATGCTGTCAATAGTCATTATTTCGGCCTTAATGAAGGGTGGTCTATTTTATGCATATCTTTATGTGTAATGCACAATGAAAAAACACACTGTCCAGTTAGTAACAGTCTTTTTTCAGTTCAGTATAAACTGAGGTCAGATTAAATGCCCCATGTAAAAAGACTCAGGGAAGGTACTTCATGATTTTTAGGTTCTTGTGAAGATAACCTGGTGCTTGTCCTAAAAACCACAGCGTTAAGAAAGTAAGCATGTTGTTAAAAATGGCTTACTCAGCTGGCATGGTAGCCCCTGCATATAATCTCACCATTCTGGGAGGCTGAGGTAGGAGGATCACAAGTTCAAGCCCAGCATGGGCGACTCAGTGATTTAGTGGGACTCTGTCTCAAAATAAAAAATTACAAATAAGAAAAAGAGGACTGGGGATTTAGCTCAGTGGTGCTGCTGCCTGCCTCACAAGCACAAGGTCCTGAGTTCGACCCCCAGTAACCCCCCCCCCCAAAAAAACATAAAAGAGCTATGGGTATAGCTCAGTATGAGGTCCCTGGGGAGGGGAAGAAGAAGAGGAAGAGGAAGAGGAGGAGGAAGAGGAGGAGGAGAAGGAAGAGGAGGAAAAGGAAGAGGAAGCAGAAGAAGAAGAAGAAGAAGAAGAAGAAGAAGAAGAAGAAGAAGAAGAAGAAGAAGAAGAAGAAGAAGAAGAAGAAGAAGAAGAAGAA